CAGCCCCATCCTCCCTGCCTTCTCCCTTCAAGGTCAAGTACAAGGAGCAAGCAGTGCCCTTTCCTACCATGTCTGCTTCCCAGCTGCACTTCAGGGAGCTGCAATGTTACTTTAAGCGGGATGTTCCACATGAAACCCTAGATTCAGAAACACGTGTCACTAAAGGGTTGTCTAGCGTCTCTGGTAAGATTGAGAGCTTGTTTACAGATCACTAGCTATGTAATTAATTCTGCTTTCTTGACATGCACCCCATCGGGGATCACATCTGCCAGGTTCTTGCCTGCGTTTCTAACACTCACAGAGGACCTGGCCTGAAGTAAGGCTCCAGAAATACTTTTTAGATGGAGGTTCGGGTCACCTCCCCAGCCCCCCTGCCAACTGTCTTACCCACTTAGTGGAAGCAGAGATGGAGCAGCCTGAGGCTGCTGGGAGGCTTCTTGTGAAGCAGGAGCGGGGGAGGGGCTGGGGCCTGGAGTGGGCGGGGGGAGGGTGCAGGGCACGGGCACAGGGCTGTGTCATCACCACTTGGCATCCAGGGTGATGGCTGAGTCTCCAGGTGTTGTCTTCCATCCAAAAAGCTGCTAAAGACTCTGTAGGAAAGAAGATGAGAAGAAGGTGGATGGAGTCCAGTGCCTGGCTTCCTGCTGACTGGGGTCAGCTTCCCTCTAAGGAACTATTGGGGTCTACCTTTTCTTTTCCAGCACTTTTTTTTTGGTGGGACTGGGGTTTGAACTCAGGGCTTCACACTTGCAAAATAGGCACTCTACTGCTTGAGCCAAACCTCCGTTTTTGCTCTGGTTATTTTGGACATGGGATCTTGAGAACTGTTTGCCCAGGCTGGCCTCAAACCTCTGTCTTTCCAAATTTCAGCTTCCTAAGTAGCTAGGATTACAGGCATGAGCCACCAGTGCCTGGCTTCTTCACTTTTTAAATTGTAGTAAAACACATAACATAAAATTTACCATCTTAACCCTGCTTAAGTGTGCAGTGATGAGATATTAAATACAACCTTAAAGTCATGCACACGGCCTCATCCCCCATCTCCACAGTGCTCTTCCTAGTGAAAACTGAAACTCTGTACCCATCAAATGAACTCCCCACCCCAACCCCAGCACCTAGCAACTACCCTTCTGTTTTCTGTCTCTCATTTTGACAACTCAGAGCATCTCACAGAGGTGGAAGCAGATAATACTTGCCTTTTTATGACACGCTTCTTTCAGTTAGCATAACATCTTTTAGGTTCATCTACTTTATAGCACATCAGAATTTCCTTTTTGAAGACTGAATAGTATTTCAACATATACATACCACGTTTTCTTATCCATTCATCCTTTGGTGGATGTGCCTTGCTTCCACATTTTAGCTGTTGTAAAGAATGCAGCTATGAGCAAAGGCATCCAAACAGCTCTCAAAGACCCCACTACCAATTCTCTTAGGTACAGAGCAAGAAATGCAGCTGCTGGATCATATGGTAATTCTAGTTTTAATTTTTTAGGGACTAGTCAGGCTGTATTTCTAGTTTCTTGACATCCTCAACAACACTAGTGATTTTCTGGGTTTTTGATGGTAACCATCCCTGTGGGTGGGGGTGGTGCCTACTGCAGCTCTGATTTGCATTTCTCTAGTTATTAGGGATGCCCATCATCTTTTCATGGGCTTAGGAGCTATTGTCTTTCTTCTTGGGAGAAATGTCTATTCAAGTCCTTTACCTGGTTTTGAGTCTTATTGTTTTGTTATTGTTGCTGACGTCCCCTGTGGATTTTAACTCTGCATTTATGGGTTGCTTTGGGGTAGACAAGGTCCCTGTGTCTCTCATCTCAGCAGCCACAGAAAAGCCCCAGGGCAGGAGGCAAAAGGGGTACAGCACTGTGTGGTTCCCCGCCCCCCACAAAGCTGGTCCATGCAGAGTTGGCATAGTGAGAAGAGCCGTGGCCAAAGGTCCCTGAGATGGGGGAGAATCCAAGAAGGCCCATAAGAGGGGTCTGGCACACGCTCTGAGTGCTGTGAGCTCTGAGCCCACACAGCTGGGTGTCTACTCCCTAATTGTACAATGCAAGTCCCACTAGAAACCTCTCCTGCATCTGTTTTTCCAGGTCCTGGCCCTGGGCTCCAGGGATAGGCAGATGAGAACTCCTGGTTCTTAGTGTTACTCCTCCACTCATAGCGTAAGGCCCGAGCACAGGTCTGTCTGCAGCACCCTGTATCCCTACCCGCCCCCACACGCGCCTCCTTCCTCCCGGCTAGGATCCCATCCCAGGCTCCCTCCCTCAACTCCCAGCCTCTTTTTTTGCTTCTTGCACACAGAAGCGATCTGAGATGTATTTGAAAGATGAGGTGGAACCGGTGCTTTGAAATGCAATAAATAAGATTGTCCAAGAGGACAAGCTAGATCAGTTGGTGCTTTTGCTCCTTGGAAAGACTCATGTGGCTGTCATCAGGCTGTGCTCATCACAGCCTGCTAAAGGGCCATAAATCATTCTTGCAAAAGGCAGTCATTTCCCCACAGGACAAAGACAAGTGAGGAGGACTTAGGCTTGGTGCAGAGAGGTTCCAGAGAGGACCTAGTCCTGCCACAGACTGAGTGGACACCAGGGTCGTGATCCCAGGGATGTTTGTCAGCAATGCAGTGATTCACCTGGACATACTCTTGGCTGCAAAGCACAAAGGCCCAACTCAAACCAGCTTGAGGAGTAAGAAGGACACTGCTCATGTGGCTGGCCATGCAGATGTAGCCAGACAAGGGGACCCAGTGGCCTCATGACCTTGGCACCAGGGATGCAGGCCCTTTGTCTCTCCTCTGCTGGGCCCTGCGTTAGGCTGACTCACCTTGGAGTCACAAGACAGGGTCACATGCTTCCTACCCAGTGGTAGATAAGAGCTTCCACGGCCTTGGAATATAGGTTCTTTCATTCCATCTGCACTGGCTTCCCCAGGACAGGTGCCAAGAGCTGTCAGGAGCAGACCAAATCAAACTCACCCCGGTAGCTGGGGTGGGATGGATTCTAGACAACCAGGTGATGACACGGGGGGAAGTAGGGGGAAGACAGAATTGATGTTGCTGGGCAACCAAGAAATCCTGTCTTCTGCTTGAGGAGTGAATTTTAAGTGCCTGTGCCAGGCTTCTGAGGTTTTCAAGGGCACACAGAAGAGGGAGAAGAGCAGACCCCAGCTCTGTACACACTTGGGGCCACATAGAATGAACCGTGACTAGACAGAGCCAGGCATGGTGACACAAACCTGTAATCCCAGCACTCCAGAGCTGGAGGCAGAAGAATTGAAAGCCCCAGGCCAGCCTGGGCTACATGGTAAGACCGTCTCTCAGAAACAAACAACAAAAAGAACCAATTCAAAAAAGAAGAAGAATCAGTCAAACAAGATCAAACTGGGAATTTAGAGATCCTTCTCTAAAATGATTGGTGAAATCAAATATAAACACAAAAATGTCACAAACCACCCAAACAGCCAGGGTGCATTCGAGCCAGGGACAGTTGTGGCCCAGCAGCCTCTGGGAGCTTTTTCTTACAGGTGAACATGGGGGAGTGGTTAGGACTGGAACCCCAGTGCTGTAATTGCCACCTAGTTTCCAGCATTTGAGACCAACAGAAAAATGACATGAATTTGAAGTCAAAATACCTGGAGACTCGATTAACCATACCAGTTAGCAGTTGGATGACCTTGAATTTCCCCAAGAGCCTCAGTTTCCCTGTTGTGACTTAGTATAACACATGTAACTCAGACTTAGGTAGGTATCAGAGGTGGATGTGACTTTGCAGAGGATGGAAGATGTAGGGACATTAGTCTTGCTCTGTGTCTCCTCCCAGGACCCTGGACTGCCATGTGTTAGGGCCACAGTGCTTTCCTCCACTGCTCCCTCTGCCTTCCACACCCCTCTCCTTGAAGGTCCAACTCCTACCCTGGCTCCTCCTTAAAGTGCTGTCTGGCTTCCTGGGCTCTCCATGTGCCCAATGTGGCTCACTTGCTGCCACACTCTGTCATTGGCACATGCACCTGCAGCCTGTGGCTAGGCTGAATGCTGAACTGCCAGGTGGACTTGTTATTTGCTTCTGGTGTTTATTATTGCACCTGCTCCTGCAAATGAAGGGTGGTTCCTGCCTCTTTCCAGCCAAAAGAAGTGGTTCCGAATGTGGGGTGTTTCAGGATAAGCCTGAAAACCACAGGCCAGAGAAGCAAAATGATCTACCAAAAAGTGACCCAGCTCCAGGGGTGAGGTCAGGAGCAAAGCAAGACACACTAGTGCAAGAGACCAACTACAAACAGGCCACCCACAGCCAAAACAATACAGTGAAAGAGTGATGCTGGGAACCACCAGGTGGGTGGAGGTGGTGGGAAGGGACAGGGTTGGTGTAGATAGGCAGGTGAGAGATGGCCTTGCTGGTCGGGCCTCAGGTAGATGGGGCCAGCTGCACAACGAACAGGTGGAGGTTGGGGTGGGGTTCTGGGGGAAGAGGTGGGGGATGGAAGCCAGGTCAAGGCAAGAACCAGCCTGTTTGAGGAGCATGTTGCTATTGGCTGGAGGTGAGCAAAGGCAGACAGATCTGGGCTACGTCAGGTCACTGCAAGGAGTCTGGATATGGCTCCATGTGTGGATGGAGCTGCTGGATTTCTGAGCCATTTTGGAAGGTGGTGAGGAAGAGAAAGAATAAGAAAGTGAGACAAAAGAGATGGAGTGAAGAGGCAAGGGACCCAGAGGAGGGTAGCACAGAGAGGATGCCCAGAAGAGGCCTGGCACCCAGGGGCACTGCTATGGATGGGTAGGCTGAGGGATGGGAAAAGGACCGATACACATATCACTGTGACTAAGGTGTGTGGATTCTGGTGGGTTTGGAAGTGACCTTCCAAGGCTCTGCTCTCTAGAGCTAAATTGCACCACACCTCTCCCCCTGCCTCCTATAGGAGGTCAGGTCTCTGATTCCCTCCCTTGGGTGGCAACGGGGCAGGAGGTGTCCCAGTGAACTAATGATCACAATTTGTTTTTGTAGTTCAATGTTAAGAAGTCCACAGAGCCCGTCCAGCCCCGAGCCCTCCTCAAGTTCCCAGACATCTATGGCCCCAGGCCATCTGTGACGGCTCCAGAGGTGATCAACTATGCAGACTACACGCTGGGGACCACAGAGGAGCCTGCTGCACCCGTCAGCCCTCAGGCACCAAGTGACAGCCGCCTCAATAAACAGGTCACAGAGGAGCTGTTCATCCTTCCTCAGAATGGTAGGCATCTCCTGCCCACGTGGGCAGCACAGAGGTGGGGTTTGTTAGTATGTCTGGGGACAGTGTGTGTGGCCTGGCTCTGGGCTGTCAAGGAGTCCCAGTGTCCTGGCATTTGACACCAGGCAGGCAGATGGGCACAGGACTTTTCTTCTTGCTGAACGCAGCCACACAGCTTTGCCCCAAGGCCTCTAGCTCCCACTGGGAAACAAGACTCCCTCTCAAGTATTGTGTGCGCAGTTAGGGAGAAGGGATAAAGAGTTGTGGTTAAAATCAGGGCCTTCAGAGTCCTGGGTTTAATTCTCTGCCCCCTTCTGTTTTTGCTGTGTGACATTGGAATGCTGCTAACCTGTCTGGGCCTCATCTATTAAATGAGTTCATATTACTCATTATTGCCTGTCAGGGTTGTGGTAAAGGGTAAATAAAATACTACTTATAAAATGCTGAAGTCAAGGCCTGGCATGAAGGCCATCAAAACACGTGACTATCGTAACTGTTTCCATCCCATCTTCCTTTCTATCAGCGTCCATGCCTGGAAGCCAGCGCTGCAGGTGGACAGCAACCAAAGGTGTGAGGGAGCATTTTAGGGAAGAGGACAGCCCTTCCGTGTCCACTTGCTTTTGTTCTGTGTGGCTGGTGAGGGAGGCAGTGGAAAAAGAAGCAGCCTAAAAGCTTTGACAGGCCAGAGTTCATCTCAGGCCTGGGTTCATTTGCCACACCGGGAAGCAAAGAGAGGTGGAATTGGGAATGCCTTGTCTGCACCCCAATCACCAGAACCACACAGGTGGTGACAGCTTCCCTTGCTGAAAGCTCTAGAACTCCCCCGCCTGATTCATTTCACTCTCAGAAGAACTGTAGGAACGAGGAACTCTTGTCATCCTCATTATAAAGATGAGGTAACTGAGGCTCAGAGAAGTTAGTTAAGTTGTCCAAAGTCACACAGGTATTAGGCAACAGCCCATGTCTGACGCCAAGGCCCATGTCTTGACTGCTGGGATTAGATGGTTCTTTTTCTATACAGTTCTCTTTTAATTACCGTATTATGGCTGTCCTAGGGGTACAAGTGACAGTTACAAAAGTTCTTACAGTATATCAGAGTTAAATTTCCTCCCTCCATCATTTTCCCTTATTCCCCTCCCCCCATTCCTGGAATAGTTTCAGCAGGCCTCATTTTTCCATTTCATACACGTGTGCTTAATATCTCCACCATATTCACCTCCCACACCCTTTCCTTATATCCTCCCCCTCCCACGGGCACAGCCCCCTGATAAGCCTGTGACCACGGGTGTTGTCTTGTGTCGACAAGCTTCGGGTTTGATTTGTGGCTGAGGTGGCTGAGATAGGAAAGGGTGATTAGTGACACAGGTCCCCAGAGTGATGGCAGTGACAGGTTTGCATCTCTCACAGGTGTGGTGGAGGACGTCTGCGTCATGGAGACCTGGAACCCAGAGAAGGCTGCCAGCTGGAACCAGGCCCCAAAACTCCACTACTGCCTGAACTATGACCAGAAGAAGGCTGAACTGTTTGTGACTCACCTGGAAGGTACCACTCTGCTGCCACAGGCTTCTGTGTGCCTAGTTCCCTGCAGGCACCACGCAGGTGGATGGGAGGCTCTGCCAGCTGGGGGTAGCAGGGTTAGCCCTTAAATGCAGGATGCTCCAACATAGATTTTTTTCTTCTCCCTCTCATGAAACAATGCACAGTGGTGACTCAAGGAACAGGAGTCCCTTCTGCCTGTGGCTCCTGAATCCCCTCAGGCCTCCTGCAACCTGTATCAAGCAGGTAGAAGGAGAAAGAGCAGAAGGCACAGCTGTTTCCTAACAGTATTCACCAGACGTGACATACGTCACTGCTGCTCACGTCCCGTTGGCTGGAGCCCAGTCACATGACCACAGCTTACTGGAGAGGAGCCTGGCAAGTGTGACCTAGTAGGCTGTCCAGGAAGAAGGGGAAATGAGATTTCAGTGAATGGCTAGCAGTCTGCCCTAGGTGCCTTTCACACTGGACAGGGCTTTGTGCTGGACATGAAGGGTCTTTAGAGGGTCACAGAAGTTTCTACAGTCTGACAAGAGACCAAAAATGGTCTCTTCTGTGGGGACCAAGATGTCCTTAGTGTCACGACCCTGACAATTCACTTTACCATCAGCAAACAAAGCTAAGACCACAAAGGAATCAGGGCTAGCATTGGACCAGATAAACTGGATTTCTGCATTTAATTTTCTTTTATTTTTGTGCTAGCTTTCCATTGCTGTGACAAAATGCCTGAGAAAAATCAACTTAAAAGGAGAAGATATTTATTTTGGCTCACAGTGGTAGATATTACAGTCCGTAGCTGCTTGACTGTTGCCTTTGGGCCTGTGGTGAGGCAGAACACCATGGTGGGGGGCAGGCGACGGGGCAAAGCTGCTCACGTTGTGGCAGCTGGGAAGCAAAGAGGAAGAAAGGGGACTTGGTCCTAATATCCCCTTCCAGGGCACATCCCCAATGACCCAACTTCCTTCCACCAAGCCCTAACGACCCTACCATCTCCCTACACAGCATCATCTGGGGACCAAGCCTTCAGCATGTGACCTTGTGGGACATTTGAGATCCTCTGCATCACAGTTTTGTCTTGTTTGGATTTGGGTGCTGGGAGTAGAACCCAGGGCCTCATATGGACTAAGCATGTGGTTTTGCTGAGTGTTTTTCCTTTTTACTATCTTTTAGGATCTTAAGAACTTTCATATACTTTATTATACTTAAACATCAAAAAAACTCCCATTTTACAGATTAGGAAACTGAGGTCTAGCAACTCCTATGACTTGTCCAAGATCATTCTAACTAGTGACAGAGCCAGAACTAAAGAGTCCCTTGAGCTCAGTAGGATGCTGTATGAGGAGACCTGGCCACAATTCTTCTTCAGCTCTTCCTATGAAATGTCAGCTTCCACTTCCCAAAAAAGGGATGTCTGGGTAAACCCGCGTTGTGACCCATTAACACACCCTTCCCATGGGTTGCATGAGTGCTGTAGTTTGGATCTTAGGGGTCTCCCAAAGGTGCATGTATGTGGTAAAATCTTGCTCCCTAGGGTGGAACTACTGGTGGCGGGGGGGACACTTTAGGAGGTGAGGCCTCGTGGGAGGTCTTTAGGTCATTGGTGGCTTGTCCTGCAAGGGGATTGTGGGAGACTGTTTTCCTTCCCCTTGCTCTCATTTACAACCTAGGCACGAGGTGAGGGCTTTCACTTGGCTCCTTCCTCCAGCCATGATGTAGGGCCCAAAAAGCAACAGGGCCAACTGCTCATGAACTGTAACCTCCAAAACTGTGAGCCGGAACCAACTGTTTTACTTTATAAGCTGATCATCTCAGGTATTTGTTACAGTGACGGAAAACTGATGGACACAGTCCATACTGTGACACGTTCAATGCACCAATGTTTAGAAAATAAAGCAACATTGGTGAGGTGGCACCAAGTGACTCACATCACATACGGCTGTGTGGTAAATATTTAAAGTGCAGAACCAGTGAATCACAATGTCACTTATCCCCAGGGCCCTGGCGCTTGGCCGAATCTCAGAATCTTGAGATCAGAGGGGCCCTTGGGAAGTGCCAGTTCTTGTCACTGCTCTCCAAGGAAGACTAGGGTGTGCTGATGTTGGCCCCCTCAGATGACCCCCCTGCATTTATAAATGTCTTGCTACAAGGTGATCCCACAGAGCTCAGGTGATTCAGACACCCAAGGCCATGACCATTAAGCTGGATTCCACAGCCCTGAACAGGCCATTCTGCTCCCTCTGCTTGTCCTTGGGAAGTCCCAGGTCTGTGTTACTTTGTCCTTGCCTGCAGCTGTGACCAGTGACCACGACGGAGGCTGTGACTGCTATGTCCAAGGCAGTTTGGCCATCAGGACGGGCTCCGTGGAGGCACAGACAGCCCTGAAGAAGCGGCAGCAGCTCACCACCTGGGAGGAGGGCCTGGCGCTGCCCCTGGCGGAGGAGGAGCTCCCCACAGCCACCTTGACGCTCACCCTGAGGACCTGTGACCGCTTCTCCCGCCACAGCGTGGCTGGGGAGCTCTGCCTGGGCCTGGATGGGGTGTCAGTGCCTCTGGGGGCCGCGCAGTGGGGTGAGCTGAAGACTTCAGTGAAGGTATGGTTGCCTCTGAGTTGGAAAAGCTGGACGGTGCTAGTAGGGTGCAGGAGGACAGACCCCTGGCCAGAGCTGGCAGCACAAGTTCAGAGACCCTCCCAGCTGGGGTGGGAGGCAGGGAGGGGTCCTGGACAGGGCAGCAGCTGGAGCAGAGCCATGGCACAGGACTCAGGATTCCGGTGCCTGTTCCTACCAGTGCCTCTCACTTGCCATGCAAGCATATCCCTCCCATCTTGCCTGCATCATGGGGAGTGTGCATTGGCTCCCCTGCTGTGTGGTGTTGTCCCCATTAAATCCAGTCCTCGTGCACCTGCCATGAACAGACACTGCAGAAATGAGCACTCAGGGAAAGAGGACAGAGTCCCTCTGTTTGCAGAATGTTCAGACAAATGGAAAAACTGGAGCCAACAAATGCAGTGACGGTCTCTGATGTGTTGAATCCTGAGATCTCGAAGAGGAGCACAACCAAAGTGCTCTGGTGGAGAGTTCTGGAAGGCCTGGTGTGCAGTGCTGTTTACATGGGCTCTGCAGGAGCAACCCAGGCTGGGGGTGGACCAGAGGCCAGTGGTCTGGGTAGACACCAGTTCTGACCAGTCCTCTTTCTCATGAAGTCCATGAGTGGTAGTCTGCCGGGATGCCAGACTTGTCAGAGAGGGGCTGCTTAGAGAACAAAACATTGATTCCCCATCCCCCCACCCAAGGCAGCATGGGGCCAGCAAAGGTCAGGGCTGCAGGTCAAAGCCTCATACAAGGGGTGGCCACTGAGGTACCTCCAGGGTTCTTGCAATGACTTGTTTGTCAGCCCGCTGGGCAGTGCCCTGCCTAGAGGCTGTGTGGCCACTAAAGACTCAAGTATTTTCTCCCTGGCCCTTCAAGTTCACCACCTTCTGGGCTGCAGGAACAACATCCCAATCAGGGCACTCCCCATACATCAGTGGCTATGTGAATTCTTCCACTTCCCAAGTCAGCCAAACAAGGGAGACACTGTGACCACCCCAGTTACAGACCAGGAAACTGAGGCTTAGCACAGTTTAGAACCTACCCAGGTCACCCAGCCAGGACAAGGCAGAGCTCAGCCTGAAGGCCTGGTGGTTCTGACTCTAAATTCTGGGCTCACCTGCCAGTCATACACCTGACAAGCAAGAGGTCACTGGCAGTCACCGCTCCTAAAAGTACCAAGAGGCCGAAGGAGGGAAGAGAGCATTTCAGTTCCTGCCTGCTTCTCTTTTTGTCATCATTTTTGCCTTGCCCCATTTTTCTTTCTTTCCCAGGCTTGGAATATTGATAGAAAGATCACAGCTGCTCTGGGACGGAGCTGGGCTGTTCAAAGCATGCGCTGTAATTAGTGTGTGATTTGAGACTTGGGTAGAATCAGAAGAGGCCCTGGGAGGAGAATCGACATTTGGGTTCATTAAGCTAAGAAACTGGTTTTCTCTGGAGAGGTAGAGAATTCCCCCACTGGGCTTTGAGACTTTGGATGGCCCCAGAAGGGCTCCAATCCAGCCAATCAAGGCAGAAGTCTCAGGCAACTCATGGCTTCTACCCCTCCCCCTGAAGAGTGTTATCATTCATTCATTTACAGACACCTTGCCCAGCACCTACAGTGTACAGGGCACCGTGCGAGGAGCTGGGGACTGAGTTGTAACTCCCAGGAGCCCTGCTCTCACAGTGCATCCATCCTGATAACCATCATTCTCACTGTAGCTGTCACTACACCACAGCCCTGCTGACAATCCACTTCCCTCTGAGTGTGAGGCAAGAGTCAGCCACAGGCCAGGCCAGGGCACCCCACCCAGATGGAGGGTGGGGCTGGTTGGCACCCAGTGGGGCACTGCAGGGGTTGCTGCCCAGATGTGCTTCTCCAGGTCAGAATGGGCTAACAGAGGTGCCAGATAATGCTCAGCCAAAAGTGGTCACCAGGGACCACAGTGTGACCCACTCCAAGGGCAGCCTTGAGTGACTCATTGAGAATCTGAGACAGGAGAGGTGGGGGGACCAGAGAGAGGGAGGAGGAAGGAAGGGCTGTGATTGTTGCACATACTTTCAGCGGCTGCACAAGGCAGTAGGTGGCAGCTGAAATCTAGCTATGGTGCAGTCAGCAGAGCTGGTTTAGACCTGCATTCTACACAAAGGTGAGGAGCCCTTCGAGGAGACAGGGGTAGGCGCACCTCACATGGTCTGGTTGGGGGGATAGAGACTGAAGCCTGGTTACCCTGTCCCCATAGCCCAGGCTAGCCATAGACCTATGGAACCTGGAGACAGGTGCCTATCCCAGTCTGCTGGCATCCAGTGAGTGCCTGGCACCAGTCCCCAGTTTCCTCACTGTGAGATGAGAGTGTAGGATGAACTGTCTACCAGGAGGCAGAGGTCAGTGGATTGGGACCTGGGCTTCTATGTGATCAGGCTCTGTTCCAGTCTCAGATCTGCTACTCACTACCTATCTGACCTCAGGTGGCCATAGCGCCCTCTAAATGTCAGGTTCTCGTGTCTAAAATGGGAACAGGTCAGTACCCCTCTTAGGGTCATTGTCAAGATTAAATGGGATGTCTTACCTTTACAATTTTTTTAATTCCTTCTTTTTTTTTTCCTTCAATACTGGGAATTGAACTCAGAGCCTCACACATGCTAGGCAAGTGCTGTACCAGTAGAGTCACCCCCCCCAACCCAGTCCTTTTGCTTGTATTTTGATTTTGAGGTAGGGTCTCACTAATTTTGCCAAGGCCAACCTTGAACTCACAATCCTCCTGTCTCTATCTCCTGAGGAGCTGGGAGGATAGGTATGTGCCACTAAACCCAGCTTCAAAATTTTTGGACAAGCATTTATTTTGTGCCTGATGTGTGCCAAGTGCAGGAGATACAAGTGAATTTGCGTTGTAGTGGGACAGTAATGCATTAAGTATATAGTAAGTGCTTAAAAAATGTCAGCTGCCTTCATTCAGACCATCCCCAGGTTCCCTGAGGCTCCCAAATCATTTAGTCGCATGATAGTTGCTTGTGGCTGGTTAAATCATTGGGCCTCTATTGGAGACATTTTTCCTTGATGAAAGATGTAACTGAAAGCAGAGAGTGGAGTGAGGCCAGGTGGAAGGTAGACCAGCACTCACCCAGCCTTACTTCCAAAGCTGAAACTGGCTCCCATCCACCCAGAAACCTGTGATCCCCACTTAGCAATCTGGAGAAGTGGCCATTGCTCTTGCATGGCACCTGTGGTGATGATCAGAGCAAGCACAATGCTTTGTATGTGCCACAATGCTGTTCTAAGCCCTCAAATATGAACTCATAGTTTTCACAACCCCATAAGTCATACTATTCCCATTTTACAGATGAGGAAATGGAGGCTCAGAAATGTTAAGCAATTTTCCCAAGGTCACACAGCTGGCAAGGGGCAGGACTGGAACTCAGACGCAGATACTCTAGCTTTAGACTCTATGCCTTTAGCCTTGCTCTGGGTTATTAATGAACCTTGTGGCTTTAACAGTTGTCATCAGAATCATGATTTATGACTTGTGCTGAGGACTTACTAAATTTATTTTCTCACTCAGTACTCTGCATTTTCTCCTAGCATTTACCCAGCTGGATGTTATGTGTTTAATCACTTCCTGTGTCTCTCCCATGTGCTTCAGGCTCCACAGAGACTGCCTATGTTTTCCCCACTGCTTCAGTAGTAGCATCTAGAAGAAGTAGGTGCTTTATGCAGGCTTGCTGAATGGACAGATTCCCCCCTTTTCCTGATCAGCAAAGGGACATTCAGAGAAGTGGGGTACTGTGCTCAGTGTCACACAGTAGCTAGCAGTGGCTCCAGGCTCCTGGACATATGAGGGAGGCCATCTGCTCTCTGCTCGAAGGAAGGGCTCTGCCCTCAGCTGATCCCCTCCTGCTTGCTCCCTTCTCTTCCCTACCATGTCCCCCTGAGCTCAGATCACCAGCCCCACTCCTGGGAGGGGTCTTTTCAGTTTTGTTTTTTGTCCCTCAATGGGCTTGAACTTCCAAACAAACTCTTGCAGGAGCCAGAGGTGACTGTCAATCCACATGGGGCCAGATGTGCCCGGATGCTTCCTGAAGGTGGCAGGGCCTCCTCTGAAGTATGGTTAGTGCCAGTGCCCTGGGTGTAGAACCTGCCCTTATCACCTGTATTGTGTTGACAGTGCCAGCCCCTGCTTCCATTACTTTATCTCTTTATTGTCTCTCTCAGCCTGTAGGGGCTGGCGGAGTGATCTCTTCAAACAAAAATGAATTACAGTTCCTGCTGCCTCGGAACCCCATGGTCAATGCAGTCAATCCTCCTTAAACTGGAGGATCCTTAAGACTTCTGCAGAGGCACCCCAGGTGCTGGGGGGGCCGGGAGCAAAGAGTGAGAGGGCTCCTGGCTCTCTGCCCCTGTTTCATCCTGAGGGGCAGCTCTTTGCTCTTTTATATATTGGATTTAATGTGACAAATCACATTTTGTACAAATAATGAAGTCCTATAGACACATGGCCACACATCACGCGCTGTGCCCTGCCTTCCTCTAGGGTGGAGAGCTCGGCTTTGGGTGGACAACTCCTGGGATGCCAGGGGCATGCAAATACAGTGACCCCAGCCCCAGCATCGGCTGATGGATCAGAAGCCACCAAGTGTGACTCCTTTTCCATGTCCCCCTTCTGTTTCAGGAGCCATCCACAGGAACAGGAGAGGTCCTTCTGTCCATCAGTTACCTTCCAGCAGCCAACCGGCTTCTGGTGGTGCTGATCAAAGCCAAGAATCTCCATTCCAACCAATCCAAGGAGCTGCTGGGCAAGGGTGAGTGAGAGGAGAGGGGAGAAGCAGGCCCCTCCAGCACAGGGATGTGTGCAGGTAGCACCTGGCAGGAAATGGGCACAGGTAAGCAGGCTGGTGGCACAGGAGCACACCCATGGAGTTACCCTCAGCTGTGTCTTCCACTCTAAGCCCACAGATCAGTTTTGAAGGCCACACTCACTCCTTTGAGTTCACATCCATTTGTTCTAGGATTGAACTCAAATACCCAGGGTCCTGCTAGGAGCTCCCTGGGTCCCCTACCTTGCAGATCCACCATGAGAACATTCACCCTTCATCATGGATCCCAGGAAACCAAGGGGCGACTGTAGCCGTGGAGCAGAGTCCCTGAGCTATAGAAAAACCCAGATCTGGCTGGACCCATGCTCAGGTTTTTTTTCTCCCATCTCTGCTAGCAACCACTGTGTCCCACACCCTCCCCAATCTCTTCTGTGTTCTCAGCTTTGGCCAACTGCCACCCCCCACACCACTTGAGTGTGGGTGACAGCAGAAGGCAAGTGGGCGTAAGGGCTGAGACCTGAAGCATAGGGTGTCTGTGCCCCAGATACCACATAAACCTCCTTTTTAAGATTGTGGAAGCTTCGAGTTTTCCTTCTGGATACCCTGGCACGGGTCTTATGTCATAGGGACCAAAGCAGCCTCACCTATCAGAGCAGGAAGCAGCCTGGGTAAGCCAGATCCAACCTGGACTGAGAGCCTTGTGCTCAGAGCAGGAGATAAATAAATTTCTATTTATAGCTGGATACAAATAAAGAATTGCCACTGCGTTCAGAATCTTTGGGCAAGTGAATCAGAAGATTTGATCTTGCAGGCAGATTCCTAAAGTTCAGATTCCAGGCTTTGTCCTCATCCCTTCCAGCCCATTATTGGCCTCTTGCTCTTTTTTTTTTTTTTTTTAACAGCTCCCCTCAGGACAATTACAGCACAGCCCTTTGTCTCTCAAATATCTTTACTGAAATAACAAACTAACCACCCAGGGGTGATAATTATAGCGATAAATACAAAGTAACAATTATTCCCACATTAGCTTCAGGAACCTTAACTAATGAAAAAGTAATGTGGTCCTCAGCCTGAACCTGAGCCATGGAAGCTGTCTGGTGACCTGCTTGTGAATTTCCTGGGGGGACAGTGCTAGGGCTGCGGTGCCCAGGAGCTGTGGGGAGGAGGGGAGAACAGGCAATCTGCCTTTGCTCTCAGCGAAACCTGCAGAGCTGAGAAATACAGCTGAGAAGCATTCAACCGTGAATCAATGAAAGGCTTGGATGGAGAATTAAAGGGGTGAAAACCTGGGGATAACCTTGTTTTTCTGATCTAAGTTTAAAATCGAGTTGCAGGACACCTAAACCATTATCCTGGGCTTGGTTTGATCTGAGGCTATGAAGTCACTTGAAGGGCTCATGGCAAATTGTCATTCCCTATTGGCACTCTGATATGTCCCAGTATGGGCCATCCAATGACCAGCCTACCATCCCTAGTCCAAAAATCCAAAATCCAGAATGCTCCCAAATCTGAAACTTTGTGAGCGCAAGTGGAAAATTCTATACTGCGGAACTTGGCTTCATGCACAAAATTATTTTAAAAAATTATATAAATTTACCCTCAAGCTGTGTGAAAGAAACATGGGTGAATTTTGCACTCAGATTGGAGTCCCGTCTCCAAGATATCTTAGATGTCCATGGAAATCTTCCCAAATCTGAACAATGTCCAAAGTCTGAAACCCTTCTGCTCCTAAGCTTTTCAGATGAGAGCTATTCAACCCATATGGTATGATTCCCACACTTGAGTACAAGTTCTGCAGAGCCAAGAACTTTGGCCATGTCCCCAAGTCTACAAAAATGCATGCCATCTTATGGGCACTTAGTAATTGGTGAATGAATGAATGCCCTAGGGGCGGGGTAAAGAAAGAGCCCCAAGACAGCACCATCCTGGGTGCCATCAGACCCTTCTCTCCATCTCTCTTTCCTCTGTCTTTCCTCAGATGTCTCTGTCAAGGTGACCTTGAAGCACCAAGCACAAAAGCTGAAGAAGAAGCAGACAAAACGCGCCAAACACAAAATCAACCCAGTGTGGAATGAGATGATCATGTTTGAGCTGCCTGACGACCTGCTGCAGGCCTCCAGTGTGGAGCTGGAGGTGCTGGGTCAGGACGAGGCGGGGCGGAGCTGTGCACTTGGCCACTGCAGCCTGGGTCTGCACACCTCGGGCTCCGAGCGCAGCCACTGGGAGGAAATGCTCAAAAACCCACGCCGGCAGATAGCCATGTGGCACCAGCTGCATCTGTAGCTAGCCACTGGCCCACTTCCCTTCTCGGGCACAGCCCGTCCTCCAGCCCCAGCTGCCCTCCGCCATCTCCTCCTTGTGCCCCGTCCTCATTTTGACACCCGAAGACAGAGACAGAGACAAATGTGTTGGCCAAGGTCATGATCCTGTTCCTCTCTCATCTCAAGGCAGTGTGCAGGAATGGGACTCTTGTATCACACCGAGGCCTGCGTTTTGCTCCTCTATGTGATGGACAGAGACCCGTCTCGGATGCACCTCCTGTGCAGGTTTTGTAGGTGGGCTGAGGCCAGATGCAGAAAAAGCTTTATTTGAGGAAGCATATATACAAAGACGAATTAAAAAATAAGCATTTTGAAAATGATGAAGGAAGTAAATTAGATCAACTCACAGAATCAGAGATTGTCTGGGAGAGATGAAACCCTCGCCTGCACCCTAGCCAAGATCCCCACACACAACAGCAGCCTGGCAGTTCTCAGACTTCGGTCCCTGTCCCTGACAGCCTGTGGACATTTCAGATCAGTGCTACAGGCCAACGCCCTGAGCCTCTCCAACTTTAACAAGAACCAAGGTCTCTGATGCAGAGTGGGGAGGACTGCATTCCACCAGGACAGATCCCTTCTACCACATTCCTAAGTCCTCCAGGGGGCCCCCCACCAGGGAGTGGCCGGTTTCAGGGCTGGACACCTCACCATCAGAGTGAAATTCGGAGCCTCCATTTTTAATTTGATTGTGAAGTTTTAAATTTGTGCTTTTCAGGTCCTGCTCTTGGGATTACATAGTGTGCTTTTTATTGAAAAAGTATTGTCTTATTGTAAAATTGGTTTGTATTATACCTGGGGAGACCTTCCCTGACAAGGCATGGGTGGGATCCCCTGTGGGTCACTGGGCTGGATTCATTGTTAGGTCCACCAGCATCACCAAAATGACCCTGAGTGACAGACCCATCCCTTCCAGCATTCCAGCCATTCAGGAGGAAGCCTTATGACATCTGGTGACATGAAAGTGGAGATGGAAGACAACTTTCAGGAGGAAGTGAGGTCCTTTCAAATGTGCCTCCTTCCTTCTGCTTTTGGGACTTGTCCTTTTGACTGCTCATGACTGGCAATCTACCTTGCTATTCCTTATAGATGTCCCCATGGTTAATTAAACCTCAGTGATGAGCCTGTCTGGGTGGATATAATACTCACCAGTGAACCAGGAGTGCTGGGTTCTGTTGGCATTGCCTTCAGAGCCTCAGTTTGGTCATCTGTGAAACGGGAGCCTGTCCATGTGAACGATATGGCAGATGAAACTGTGTTCCAAGACTGCCAGCATTCCTTGGCTGAAGACAAATACTGAGGCACTAGCAAGCCATTTTTAAACTAGGTTGCTGTCTTTCACTTCAAGTTGCAAGCTGACAATGCCTGGAAAGTTCCAGAACCATCCAGATATTTCCAGAACCAAGGATGCTGCACTTGGACTTCTCCAAACTATAAAATTCCAATACTGGTCCTGCAGATGTTACCCTAGCTCCCTGATTTAACTGAGAATTTCTAGAGATGGGTAAGGATAGCATTCCTTCAATGAGTCCAGTCACTCTTGGCCTGTCCCTGAGAAGCTGAGTGGGGGGAACTATGTAATCTTCTGTCATTATTTACCCTTTCTGCCCAGAAATAGAAATGCATTAGGAATAACTTCTACCCACTCTCTGAAGAAACAAAAAGAATATCTAGCTCCTCTTTAGTGGGCATATCTTTCTAAAAATTGGAAACTTAGATCTCTAGGGTTTGCCAGCCTTCGTCACTTAGGTGAAGCATTTGTCAGTGGTCTCCTAGAACATCTTTCTGAGGTTGCCCTCTCCCCCCCAGTCCCTTCTTTTTGGTTGGCATGGCAAAAAAAAAGAGAATAGAATATTCCCTACATAAGCTGAAAGCTGGCCAGCATTTTCTTCTTGGTAACATCTGTTACTCTAACTAGAAACATTTAGCTTCTAGAATTTAAATCAGGAAACATACATAGGTCATCCTTCCCTATAAATCTGTGCACCTGCTTTAGTATCCCACCAAAGACAGGGACACAGGGCTGGGCAAGGGCCCTGGTCCCAAAATATCAATTCCACCCATAGTCTTTCATTCATCTCTTTCGATCTGGAAGGTTCCATGGTCCAGAATCAAACTGAAGCTGGCACATTCAACCATGGAGCCACATTCAGCCATGGAATATCTTGGAAATCGGCCATCACCTCAGTTAGCAGGGATGTACAGAAAGGAGACAGGGTTTTGTCTGTATGTTCACTGGAATATTCCAAGTACCTAAGCCAAAGCCATCTTGTGGGAGCTCCATGAGTATTTGCTGAGTGAACTAATGGATGGAGGAGAGGGCAGTTAGGATTGTTCGCCAATGGTATAACAGTGGGAACCCTGGTGACCGTCAATGGTAAGTCATCAGACAGCTTGGCAGTTGCCTGGGAATTCATGGCATTGAGTATTACTATTCACCTACTGACAATTCATTGCTCTCCATTTAAATGTAATTAACAAAAAAAGACAATCTGATTGCTATGCTTTTGCATCAAAACTTCATGTGGGTACATTCCAAATTCCCCAGGGATGTCAGCCTACAAATCAAAAACCCCAGTAATCTTTGTATCAGCCTATCTCATACCAAATATATTTGCAATTTACCTCCAGATTTAAGTAACAGAGTCTGTGTGAATGCATCTGATCATGTTTGAAAGAAACACCTTGTTCTTGGCCAGGGAGCATTTTCTAGGCGTGTGAAGGAGAGGCAAAAATAAAGTGAGTGGCTATTTCAGGCCAGAGCAATGCCAACAGGTCACCTGGTTCTTTCACAGACAAGACACAGAGTTGGAGAATTAGAATCTGCCCTCATCCGTCTGTGACTTCCCTTCTTGAATCAACCAGTATACATCTGTGGAGTGCCTGTCTATGAAGGCCTTGCATACGACTGTCCTTTTTGATTTGAGATGATTCCTAGTGTGGGTTGAATGACAAATCCCCTGAACTGAAGCTGGGTGGAAAGAGCTAGTGGGGAGCACAGTTCTCCAGGGTCAGTTCCTTTTCGATATATGGGAGTCCTGGGTGGAATGTCTGTAGCCTGAACCACTGAGGGTGAGAGGGGGACCCTCAAAATGAAACTCCATCCTTGTGATTCGCTTCTGACTTCTGTGTTTACTGTTGTCAAATGCAGCGGTTGTGTTTGTTTCACAGTCCTGAACCAAAGCACAAAAAGATGCATGGGACCTTGTAGTCATATGTCTGGTGCCATACTTTGGAGCAAAAACCTTCCAGTGGTAAATAAATACTTTCCAACAGCATCAGCAGCTTGGTGTTTCTCTTTTTTCCAATTGCTTAATATTTTAGACACATAAAATTTAGGAAAAATCTTGCAATAAGCACTCATGGATCACTGCCAAATTTAATAAAACCTGACGACTACAGTGGGAGTCCCCTTCAGGCCCTTTACTCAGGGGACTAGGATCCTAAATTTGGGGTTACCACCCAAGCATTACTACATGGACATACATGGAAACCCTAAACACTACTAAGTTGTTGTGTGTGTTCATAAGCTTTATTTAAAGTGTATCACAATACTTTTGCTCAACCTTAAATTTTTGAGCCTCATCTATGAGGGTTGGGTAAGGCCACTTAGGGCTTTGATCTCATTCCTGAGAAGGAAAATGAGGTAGAAACTTGAATCTCCTCTTTCTTTAGCTTCCCCACAGAGACACTCCCACCTCATCAACAGAGAGGCCATGTAGCAGAAGTGGTACCAGGCTGTGGGCCAGGCCAGGGCCTCCGGGAGTCCTGCCACCCTGGGCCCTCCAGGTGGCCACTGCAGCACTGCCTGTGGGGGGAGAGGCCCTGGCGCTCAGCAAGAGACAAGGCCTGGTCTCATGGATTTTAAAATAGAATATATGATCCCTAAAGAAGGCTGTGAGATGTCAGTGTATAATTCTTTATTTTATATTATACACGATTGTATACCTATTACATCTAAATGACAGCCTGGGTTTTAATTTCCACAGTAGAACAGAATAAGTAGAACACATATTGGAGGGTATCACGTAGTACGGGCTATGTTTCACAGTAACTATGACATGGCCTACTTGAGCCAAAATTAAAAGTTAAGAATCTGGAATCATATAAAAGAGAAATGGAAGACTCATTGTGTGTGGGGGGGGCTTTCCCCTGAAGTGCCTCAAACAGTTGACCCTGCCTGACACGTGACAGACTGGCCACCAGAGCCATCACTTTCGGCACTGAGAACCAACAGCTCAGCTTGGCTTTGTCCCTGGCCACCCTCATGGCCCTGGGCAAATCTCCTGCCTTGGGGTTTTAGTTCCCACACCTGTAAAGTGAATTTGAACCAAATGACTACTAAGATCCCTTCTGTCTTTGCCCTTTTGTGAGTCTGTGACCCAGACTGCCAGCAACTTACTTTTCACACGTCTGTTTGGTCTCCTATCTCATGCATGAAACAGACTGAAGTGGCCTCCGTGTGTGCCTGCCCTCTGCTGACAGTCCCTCCTGACAGCCGCCCACTCCTCCACACAATATGTGGTCATACCTGAGGCTTCCCATCAGCCTCTTCTCGTTTGCTTAATTGCTAATGAGGCCTCTGACAATTTTCCACCCGAGAGTTTTTGTCCTTTAGAGCTAGTTGGAAGCACCACCACCATTTCAGGAGTTCTGAACTCGAGCATCTGTCCCATCTCCCTCTGGGGCAGACATCTGGCGATGATAAGTCGATGAGATGTAGGTAGCTGTGGGTGGATGGAGGGGGTGGACACTACCTCAGTGCTGGAGATCTGCCCCATGCTCTCTGTCTTCATCTCCTCCAGGTGAGCCAACACAGATGGTCCCTGGAAGGGACCTGAGCAGCTTCCCAAGCCAGAGATAGAGGTGCCTACCTGGGAGGAGTATGGCAGGAACCCAGTCTTGGTGCTGGAAGCCAGACATTGCCATGGAAACCAGTGTAGTGGTGACCACCATGTGATTTAGAGCCCTGTGGTGGCTCAGCCCCAGTGGCTCAGACTCTTGTCAATACAGCCCTTGCAAGGGCCTACTTTTCTATCTCAATATTGATGCTCCTTCCTGATGTTTCAGGATAGCCTGTTAGCAAATGTGGGGTGATAGAAGTCCTATTTCAGAAACCCAGGG